AAATAGTATATTTAGCTCGATATTCTCTACAATATTCTCTTTTATTTTGAGTATTTATAGGAATGTATTTTTTGCAATCGATTGTTTCCTCAGTGTTTTTCTCTTATAGTGAAATATGATCAATCTAGACAAAATTGCGTATATATTGCGCGTGTCCTTGTCTATGTATATGGTTACATTTTACGGCAATTTACTCGTGTTGGCTGCTGGGCAAATGTTCTGGCTTGTCCTTGGGTAAAAAACCTTTCCTAGAACTTCTTTGCGATTTTGCAATATGAAACTGAAAGACTCCAGTATTTTATACAAGCCTTGCTTATACATAGCGACATCGCAAACGCAATAATCCACAAAGAATACATATACAAAGTTCTATTTACTTTATTGACTATTTGTTTCGAAGCTCATCTCCCCCATTGACTTTGATGTTGCAACACAAGCTCTTTTATGCTATTAAATTAAAATGTATGCACTTGTTACATTTTATTTTATTTAAGTAATTTTATTTTATTTTTTATTTATTTTATTTTATTTATTTCAAATTACACTCGCTCTTAACTTTATCGAATTGATTTCGGCAGTTAAATCGGCAAAACAAACTTAGCCCCCCCCCCCCAACCCTTATGTAATTTTTTTGTTATCTCCCAAAATCTGGGAGACACGTGACCAACCTGGACCAGGGACTTTCCTCCAGCGAGGAGCATACAGGAAAGATGTGACCTAATGCGCCAAACATTTTATTTTGTCCAACGCCAGACAATTTTATTGGTGCCAGACTACATAAAAATTTTCGGTAACCACTAAGTATTTTTATAAAGTATATTAAATTAACAAAATTGTACGTACCTGCTACCTGTACATATCCCAATTTATCAACAATTTCATCAACATTGATATTCCCAATGTCATCAGGTACATACTGAATACCACCATCATTCACTGCGGCCATATTCCCGGGCCGTTCATTTCCCAATTTCTCAATTTTCTCTTCAATCAATTTTTGTGATGTGATAATTTCTTCGATACTTCCTCTCTTCAGGAGATTTCTTGGCAAGGACATTGAAGCTTGGATTTTATCAAGATAATCCTTCATTTCATCATGTTGTTTGCTCAATTCACTGTGTAATGAACTACAAACTTTGTCCACTTCCTCATTCATTCTTTCCGCTCTCTCATCAAGTTTTTCTGCAACAATCTTTAAGATATTTTCATTTTGTTCTTTAATTTGATCTTTAGCAGTTTTAGCATTCTTTTCAAGAGACTTCATCACCTCACAAATGTTGTTTAACGTTTCCTTTCCTTCAGCTAATTTCTCATCAAGTGTTGTGCAGCTTGATTGCAATGTTTCTCTTTGCTTCTGTGTGATCTCGCGCATTGCCACACAAGAATGGTTTGGTTTCTGGTGACTTAACACTACACAATCTATACAGCAAAGTTCTTTGCATGTTTCACAATAATATTCAAGTATTTTGTCTTCGTGTTTTGAGCAATAAAGCTTTCTTCTCATTTTCACTTGATTTTCAAGATTGCCTAGTTCTTGTAGCGATAAACTATTATGGTTTTTGAACCAACCATCGTGAGACCCAGAACATTTATTGCACATAAATATTTCGCATGATGGGCAGTGATTAATGGCAGGATTTTGGCAACGTGAACATGCAGTAGATGTTTTTGCTTTTTGTTGAATCGCCATAATTTCCAGCATATTCTTGATGAAATAACTACTTGGCAGTTCAGCAACATCTTGGTTCGATTTGAGCGTGAACTCTGAGCGACATGTAGGACAGGGAAATGCGTCGATTTTTTTGTCAGCACCGCGAAGACCTTGAACATACTTTCCTAAACAATGCACAACAGACATACAATGTTTATAAGAATAAATTTAAATGCGATAATAACAATGACAGATAAATTATTCAGTTATTAAGATAAGGTCAGAATGGTACAGAAATATATCAATATACTAGTTTACCCACAAGGTAGTGATTGCTGCCTTGGTATAGCATTGTTCCCAAATCTTTAAATGAGATTTTTTGTATGTTACGTAACACGCGCTCAAAACTAATGCGTATAATATACCACATGAGATTATGACTAAAATCAACATTTTTATTTTTCGATACGTGGCAATCGGTAAAAAAAACCTTAAAAGTATGTTTAGTGCTTTATCTGTAAAATAATGCTAAAATGAAGAGATTTTAGATGATACGCCAAAGAGAAAATGATGTCTGAAGTTCAGTACGTTTTGCTTAAATGGCTGTAAATATAGCGTCAATTTTAAGGCA